CAGTATACGGTTGCCCTTCTTGTCGTTGAGTGCCCATTGCTGGCCCGTGTCCAGCTTTTTGTCCACCAGTACCCCCAAGTCCTTCTTGGCAGGGCTGCTCTCAGTCCCTTCATCCCCCAGCCTATATTGCTGCCAGGGATTGCCCTGACCCTGGTGCAGGACCTTGCACTTGGCCTTGTTGAACCTCATGACGTTTACACAGGCCCACTTCTTCAGCTTGTCCAGGTCCCTCTGGATGGCATCCCATCCCTCAGGGGTGTCAACTGCACCACTCAGCTTGGTGTTATCTGCAAACTGGCTGAGGGTGCACTTGATCCCAGTGTCGATGCCATTGCTGAAGATATTAAACGGCACTGGTCCCAGTACAGACCCCCGAGGGAGACCACTTGTCATCGCTCTCCATCTGGACATTGAGCTGTTGACCACTACCCTCTGGATGCGACCACCCAACCAATTCCTTATCTACTGAACAATCCACCCATCAAATCCATATGTCTTCAGTTTAGAGAGAAGGATGTCATGACCGTGCCAAGGCCTTATATGACCAAGGTTATTGAGATCTAGCTTTTATAAAGTAACATCAAGTTATCTGTTAGTATATTGATATACTACCTTTTTGCCCCAAATATGCTGAGAGAGAAGTTGCTTCTCATGATATAAGACCCCAGGCAAAACGCAGTTCTGGGAATGCCAAAAATCTCTTCAGAAATGCGAGATTTTGAAGCCAATATTTTCTGGTTTCTGTCTCCTTTAGGAATTCTGTTACTTCCTTGTGCATTCACTCCACTGTCCCTAGGTCTCCCATGCTTTTTTCCAGTGTAATTAGCCTGACCTTTCCCTTGTTTATTTTATGATTATAGGAGATTTAATTTAATTAAGTAGGAAATTTAATTGATTTATTTTGTGATTATAGGAGATTTATCTTACAGAGAACTTATCATTCTCTGTAAGATAATACATTTTAAATTAATTTATTTGTCCTGTTTAGTACTGAAGTCCAGCCCTCTGATGTTAAAGTTATTTGACTGCTGAATAACAGTGCACGGGTAGGAGAGGTACAAGTCTCTGATGCATGTGTGGTCAACGTTGGAGATAAGCCAGGGAACCATATACCAGTTCTGTCTTCCAGTCCATCCATCTTTTATAGATAACGCTGTCAAAAGATGTATCATGCAGGATGTGGGTATTTTCCCGGTAGAACCAGAGTTAGTCTTTTAGGTATGACTTCCAAAGCCAGGGATGACTTGTCTGTTAGTGCTAGTTTTGTGCCAAAGTTGTAAAAGTCAAGCTCTCTGCTAGGTTATAAGTCTCTGAGGTATTTAATACTGATCATCTTTTGTAAATGCAGACAGAGTGAAGACCACATCAGCACTGGCTATGGTTATACTGTTTTGTTGCATAATACAGATACACTAAAATTTTTATTGGGGTTGGCTATTTGTGGGTGGCCCTCCCACCCCATGTGTTTACTCTGCATTTGGAAACTTGCGTATTTTCAGATCCAGCCATCTCTCATGAAGGTGTTTCCAAATAGAGAATGGCTGGAGGAGTGTCATGGTAAAGCTTAGACAGCTCATGTGTCGGGAATTACTGGCAGAGAAGTGTTGGCATCCAAGTCATAACAGTGTTTCCACCCTGTGATTAGGGAGGGTGTGGTGTAGCAGAGCTGTGCTTCAGCCGTAGATACTCAGAAACTATTGCAATTTAAGCTAGTAATTTAAGAATACTACGCAAACTTTCTTTTTTCATTGCTTCAGTTTTGACATTAAAAATTAAGTAATGGTCAGGATTATGTTATGCAAAAAAAAAAAAATTTAAAAAGTAGTATAGCGATACCATTTCATAACAGCATGTGCAAAAGAAAAAAAAAAGATAAAAGAAAAATCTGGAAGAATATCTGGCTGCATTGTGTGGTCTTTATAGAGCAGAGATAAAGAGGGAGTGGACAGTTGCGGCATTTTTTCAGTGCAAGGTGTCAGGAGATAAAGGTACCAACTCCATCCTGTTGGTTAGAGCTGTGCCAGCTATTCTGGAGGAGCAGAGCAGTTTCAGTTTTAGGACATTACTGAAACCTCTAAGGGGTGTGGGGAATATATTAAAGGCCTTTGGCCAGATTTATTCTGCCCCCTCCTTAGATGTACCTCCTAAGAGGCAAAGCTTAGAATTCAGATGGCAGTTCTCATTCATCCCCAGACCAACAGATGCATGCTCAGGATATGCAGACCATATTTCTTTCCAACAGGTTTTAGAGCAGTAGTTTAAAATCAAATAAGGCATTTCAGATGCTCTGTTTGTTTGTGGCAGCTATCATTGTGCTATGCAGAACAGTGGTTGATGCTGTAGTACGAGTCTGTGTTATTTAGCTGCCGTTTTGGGAATATAACTTCAAAACCATACCTCATTTGGAACGCTGAACACCCGTGTATGAACGCTACTTCAACTAATATTCCTTCTTTCTTCTCAGTTCCTGCCGAACCTTTATTGTGCAAGTTTGCTGATGGAGGACAGAAAAAGAGACAGAATCAGAATAAATATATACAGAATGGAAGAGCGTGGCACAGAGAAGGCGAGGTGAGACTTGTAAGTCCTCCCTTCAAGCTTTAGTGTGGGTGTACAATAATGAATACTTTTGAAAATGATAGGCATTGAGACTTCTTGGCTTAGCTCTTTGGCATATTAAAAATGTGCAAGCAACACTTACCTGACAGTTTGCAATTCTATAAAATACTTAACTGTATCTTTCTTAGAGGAAAAAGGGCAAAATGCGAAACACTAAATCCTACCTCATTAAAGTGAAAAATAAAATCTCCTTCAACTTGGTCAGGAATATGCCTGAGATATTTCTCATATTATAAAACTACCTGAAACATAACTTTATTTACTTGTAGTAAATAATCCTTTGATTTATGCAGCATTGAAGTGCACACTTTCGTAAGATTAAAATAGTATGCCAATGCAGTGCAGCATTAATTTTTTTTAGTCAGAGCTTTTTTAATCATTAATGTTCAAGATAATAGCTTCATAGGCTGACTGTGGTTAGCAAGCCTAGACACCTCATTTATACGAGACAAGAAAATTCAAATGTGTCTTCTAAAAAACAGCCCTCCCCATTCATTGTTACGGTTAATATATTGTAAGCAACACCCTAACGTAATCATCTTCATGCCCTGCCGCTCAAACACACACATGTTCTCTTAGCCAGGTGTTTCATAGATTGCGTTTTGTTCCTCATGCTGGGAACCTGGAAACTTGTTTTCATAGCCAGTATTGCTGACTGTCTTTGCTATATAATTACTTCTGTCAATTGGGCTTTCCCTAACTTACAGTAATAAACTATTTCAATACAAATTTTCACTTAAAAATAATACAACTAAAGAAAGAGTAAGAGAAATAATTTACAATCAAAATGAATTTTGTCAACTCTTTCTTTCCACTTTTTTTTTTTCTTTTTTAAAAGGCTGGAATGACACTCACGTATGATCCAACCACAGCTGCTTTACAAAATGGGTATGTTAAATAACGGCACACTAAGAAAAAGCCTGTTTGCATTAATGAAAGATGCACAGAACTGTCACTTAATAAGTGTTTCTGCATTTTCTAGATTTTATCCATCACCCTACAGTATTACAGCAAACAGAATGATCACTCAGACATCTATTACGCCATATATTGCTTCTCCAGTTTCCACATACCAGGTTTGTATTTAGAACTTAGTAGCTGAAATGGTTCATGGGAGCTTATGTTTATTTATCAGTTGCTACATCTGGTTTTATGAGTTCTCCAATAATGCTTCATTTTAATGAAGTGGCCTCTTCGTGCTGCATGGCATGAAAATGACGGCCTTAAAAACTAAGAGTGTGTTTGTTTCAGGAAGCACAACAATTTAATGAGATACGTGGGGGCTTGGACAACAAAGTCTCTAACTTGTGCTGATGGCTAAGGTATTTGTAGTCAGTTCTGCATTTCATGTATGATTTTTAATTTTCTCTTGGTCGAGTTCTTTTAATGTCAATAATATCTTTAGAATAATTATTCTTTATTTAAAACCTTCTTGATTTGATTAAATTCTATTTCAAAGATATTTCTCCATGCATTTTGAACTTTTCTGTGGATTGTTTCAGTGAAAAAAAAAAAACTGTACAATAATGTGTTACATAATTGTACAAAGAAGGGTACAGAAACTTGCTTGACATTAGAGAAAAATTTGAAAAAGAGTTCAGAGTTGAAATTGCATTAGCATTCAAATTTAGTGTTTTTATATTAGGAGTAAAGCATTTAATAGTCTAGAACCAGAAGTTACTTTATTTTGAACATTAAATTAAAATATGAGTCATGTACATTTTTTGTTCTTAGACCCCAGTCCAAAGCTTCCCGAAAAGGGAATTTTGATAGTTGTCATCTTGAGTCCCCGCTATGGGATTTTGACAACAATTCAACATGCTGAGAAATTATATGGAACAGTTTTTGTACTCTGATATAAATCTCTTAGGAATGCTCAATTTTAGGGTATTGTACATTTCAGTTTACAAACAGCTTGTATTTAATACAACTAGTACGGCACTCTCAGATGTACACTCTGTAATTACTACTTGAGATGTGCCAATTATCCCAGTGTAAGCTAAATGGTCAGCTATTTTGGCATTTTACTGTTTAACACATAGACGAAGTAAACATCGGTGATTCAGGTCATAAATAACCAAAACTAATGAAATTTGGAAAATTCTTACCTCTATATGTCGGAGGAAGGAGAAGAGGCTGTTTGTTTTTTAGTGAGACTTGCTGAGTTTTCTAGATTACTGTGGGTGAAAATGGTATAGAAGGCTACGTAGAAGGCGTGTAGAAGGATAACATAGGCATTGTGGGCCGTTTTGTCAGTATTCTCTTGCAGAAGTTTCCACATACCCTCCCATTCCAGGTGAGAAGAATGAGGAAGAATTGTCTAATATTAGTTTGGAGGTCTGATCCCTTCTTGCGTGAGCAAAGCGTTTATGTAGGAGTTAAAACAGTATAGTCTGAGGTGAAGGGCAGCTGGATTAATTTCATATTAATTTCTGAGGTGACTTATGCAACACAATGTTTGCCCTTGGCAGGCAGTGTTAGTATTGTATTTTTCAGTATATTGAATCATTCTGCTTTGTACAGCAATACCTCAAAAGTTACAGCAAGTTCTTAGACAGAAAAATATTCCAGTAGACTTAGCTGCTGTTCTTTATTAAAATATAAATTATTTATCAATATAAGACTTTCAGATACTCAGAATCCAGGGAAAAGTCGGAAGTTGGCATGGAAATATACTTCTTAGGAATATAGTATCACGTCTCTGGGCTTATTGAGGTAGGCAGACCACGATACTGTATGTTTTCAGAAGTGTTGTTACCAGCATTTCAATATACATGGCATGGAGCTTAAATTATTGTGGATGGAGTTATTAACATCATTATGCTTGAAGTGCCACAGTAATAGGAACTGAAAATTAAATTGAAGTGTTCTGTATTGGGGAAGAAGGAGGTTCTTGGCCAGAAGAGTTTCACAATTTGAGTATTTTGTCACATCTTCATTAGTAATCCCTTCTTACTGAAACCTGCAGCGTTCTGCCATCTACGCAACAGGACGTATCACAAGAGCATGATTTATTTATTTTTTCTTTGAGGCATGGTATAACCTGTTCCTAGATTTACTCTTGTGAAAAGTAAACAAATGTAATAAAGTTTTGGCTAGCGTTTGTTTCTGCAACTCCTGTATATCCAAATGACAGTACTAAGCCAGTTGCTATCATAGTGTGAGTAGATTAGCCAAAGCTTTAGTCAGGCTGTGCCAGTATTTTTGCCATTAAGCTTTGCCTGAGGAAAGGGAGGGTTCAAGTGTCTTCTATTTTTGAACTCTTGTTTGCTCTTTTTTCGGATTGAAAAAGAAAAAAATACTACTCTTGATTTGAAAATCAGTACTGAAAGGAGGGAAGAATTATTTCCGTCTTGTAGAAAACACCTCACCTGGATTTTTTTCAAGATTGTCTGGCTACCTGTCCTGTTCACAGGACTCTGGGAATGATGGTAGAGGCATTTAAGGGGCTTTAGATGTCCAGCAGCAGTGGTGAGTCAGTTCTGCATGTGCGATGCAGGTCAGAATCCTGCCTTATCTACACACCTGCAGAAGGTGGGGAGGAAACATTTTCATTCTTACCTTTAATATTTCTTGCAGCACACTTTTTCAAAGAGCTGTTGCAACCAGCTCTTTTTAACTAAGGTAAGCATATAACCTGTTAGTTTACCTTTTAATCTTTTTAATTTGCCTTGTTAGGCAAAGTTAGGCATCCTAACTCAGTTTAAGTATTTCGGTAGTCAGTGGTTTTGGAGAGAAAACATGCTAGTTGGAAGAGCAGG